CCCTGCGGTGGGGCCCCACAGCCGCCGCAGGGGGCCCCTGGGGGCCCCAGTGTGGGGCCCCAGCAGCACCTCTGTGGGGCCCCCAGGGGGCCCCGGGCAGTTCAGAGCCCCTGAATGGGTGCTGCAGTTTGTTTATGCTTCAAAGCCTGATGCAGCTGCTGCTGTGGGTGTCCCTTCTGGGGCGAGGGCTTAGGGTTTAGGGTTTAGGGTTTAGGGTTTGCGTTGGGTGTTGCTGCTGCTGCAGGCCTCCAGGTGTTTGCTGCCTTTTTGCCCACCTGCTTCCTTATGAGGGCCCCCCTGGCCGCCTGCGATTACTTGCAGCTGCTGGAGTGGGCCCCCGAAGCAGAGGGCCCCGAGGGGAGGGGGGGGCCCCCCTTCCCCGCTCTTCCCCGGGTCAAGGGGGCAGCAGCAGAGCTCAACAGACTCATTTCCAGGTACAGCTTTTAACACAGACGCGGGGGCCCTTTTCGGGGCTTCAGGGGCCCCTCAGGGGCCCCCAGGGGCCCCTTAGGGGCCCCCAGAGGGCCCCGAGAGGGCCCCTGGAGCCCTAAGGGGGCCTCTGGGGGTCCCCCACGGGCCCCCAGAGGCCCCCTTGGGGGTCCCTAGACGGCTTTTGGGGCCCTCAGGGGCCCCTGGGGGACCGTAGGGGCTTTTAGGGGCCCCCGGGTTGCTTAAGAACGTTTCTTTAGGGCACTTGGGGGCTTTTTAAAGAGTAATTGGGGCAAGCAGGGGATATTAGGGGCTCCCGGGGCCCCCCTCATGTTATTGTAGGGTTCTTAAAGGGGACCCAGGGCCCTCAGTGGCCCTCTGGGGCCCCCAGGGGCCCCCGGGGGCCGGGGACGTCGAGTGCAGCCTCAGGCGGGCAGTAGCTGCTGTTGCTGCTGCTGCTGCTGCTGCTGTTGCTGCTGCTGCAGGCTGCGTGAGTCTGTCTTTTTGTTGCTTCTCTTTTTGTTTTTCGACCGGAGGGGCCCCCAAGAGACCTTACCTCCCGTGCTGGTGAAGGTCCACCAAGACCCATCTGACAGTTCTGCCGGGGCCCCGGGGGCCCCTGGCGCCAAGGGGGGCCCCCAGGGGGCCCCCCAAGGTGGGGGGGCCCCCGAGAAGGGGCTGCCTTCTCGCTATGCCATTTGCCACCACCGGCGGTTTGTGTACAGCGAGGAGGCGGGGGCCTTTGTGTCTACTCACAGCGTGCTGCCTGAGGTCTGTTTGGGCTGCAGCAGCTAGGGTTTAGGGTTTAGGGTTTAGGGTTTGGGGTCTAGGGTTTTAGGAGCTAGGGTTTAGGGTTTAGGGTCTAAGGTTAAGGCTTTTGAAGGCAGGCGTCAGAGTTTCCAGCTCCCTTGTTAAGAAATACGGTGTAGAAAAGCATGGTTAGGGTTTAGGGTTTAGGGTTTAGGGTTTAGGGTTTAGGGTTTAGGGTTTAGGGTT